CTGGGAACCAGAAAGCATCTCCTTGCTTTTTTTTAATGGCTCCCTGGAAGACGGGCTAACAGAAGGATAGTCTTGAGATGATTTTTTTGACAGAGAGGAGAAGGAAGATGACCCTGACTGCAAGCCATCTTTTGGTTTTTTTGCACACCCTTGTCGAACCAGCTGGGGTTTCTGGGGGCGGGAGAGGTCTTTTTTTATGTCTGAGTTGTTGAGCTCCACAGCACTAAGCTCCTCCACAATCTGTTTTTTTATCTTTTCTTCTTTGACCCTTTTCTGCTGCTTGGTTTCCATGAAGAGTTTTTTTCTACTGGCTGGAGAAAGCATTCGCTTGCTACCTCCCAGGGTGGCCACTTTTTTTGAGGTGGAAGGTAAACACAAGGGGATTGAGGATTCTAAGCCGAGGGGTAAAGTCTGAGGTGCTTTCCAAATGGGGTACTTCTCCAAGCCAGCATGCTGCCCTTTTTTTTGGGCAATGTTGAATCCTATCCCTTGCATGGCTGCGTTGGTGACCAGTTTTTTTTGGGTCATATTCTCATCGACTTTGCATATGACAATGGCAGGGCTATTTTTTTTTAGTATCTGAGAAATGCTTGTGTACATGACACTTCCATAAGACGGTACGTGTGTTTGGATCCGAACAGGAACCACTGTTCCCGGGAGGGACTGCAAAGGTCCAGCATTTGCCGAGGCAAAATCTTCTTGAAGAACCTGCTCGGAGGGCGTTTCGGTTTTTTTTCTGCTCTGGTCTGATGGAAACTTTGGAAGAAGGTTCTTTGGGTGTAGCCCTGATGCTCCTGAATAACACGGGTAGGTCTGCTCTTTCGTGTGTGCATACTCTTTTTTTTTCTTTCCAGTGTTCCCTGCCACATGCTCTAAGGGATAGCTCGAATGTTTTTTTGTCTGAAAAGAGGGCTTGCCATAGCTCTTCTGAGGGGGCTGAGCAAATTTTTTTGGGAAATGCGCCTGCCACCAGGGAGGCTGCTGAGCTGGTAAATGAACTTTTTTTACTGTAGGATATTGAAACTGAAACAAGGCATTCTGGATTGGAGAAAATTTTTTTGTCTCTTGATGTGGAAATAAGTGTGGCTGTTCAGGTAAGTGTTTGCTTTTTTTTTAGGATGTTGGTTGGATCAAGGGATTTCTCAAAGATTCCTGACTGTCTTTTTTTATGATCTGTGGTTGGGCCAGGTGCAGTGGCCCTGAGCTCAGCGGGGGACAAGGACCCACCACCTGCTTCCCTGGGTCCTCTTGCTGAAGAGGAGGCAGCACTTTTTTTGGGCCATGGTGCCACCCGGACCGGAGGCCAGCATGCAGGTGCTCCAGTTTTTTTTGCTTCACACTCTGATCCATGCTGGCCTCACCCTGGGCGATTTCTGGTTTTTTTCTGAAGGAAGCTTGCCGCACCAGAAAGCATTTCTTCCTCTCCCTGGATTTTTTTACCGTGGAGGCTGCCACTCCCGACACAGGAGCATGGGACAGATTCCCTTTTTTTAATGATTTGCTGCGAACTTCTGGGACTTCTGCTGGGTGAGGACAAGGTTTTTTTTCTGATGAGCAGCGTCGCATCTCTTTCTGGTGGTGATGGCCTGGGACTTTTTTTGAGTATGAACCAGCAGGGACAGTCAGAAACTCTGAATGCTTCCCAAATTTTTTTTGCTTAGGAAGTGCGGAAAGCTTACTGATTTCTTCTCTTTCAAAAGATTTTTTTAAACTGGAGCTGTGAGACAAGTTGCTTTCTTGGCTGGGGCTGCGCGAGAGGCCTGTCCCTGTGGATTCAAAGCTGGATTCCCCTGAGGAATGCTCCATATCTTTTTTTCGCAGACGCTTCTTTTTGGGTGGCAATTTCTCCGCGGGGAGCTGGGATTTTTTTTCACTTCTCTGGGGCCACTGAAATTCTTCCACAGGCTTCTCTGGCTCTTTGCTCTGGGCTTCTTTCTCCTTCTCGGGTTTATCAGGCTCCTCGGTCACTCGTTTTTTTGGAACCTGGATGTTGTGTTGCCGGACTAGCCTGGGCTGTGTGTGATATTTTTTTTGCTGCACCTGCTGAGATGGAGAGGGTTTCCCCCCACTTTCTGCACCTTTTTTTGGTGCAGCCCACTCAGGACTCACTGGGGCTTCTGAAATCTCACTGTCTTTTTTTTCTGAAGGGGAAGGGGCTTTATCCTGCGTGCAAGCCACAAGTTCGGCTTTTTTTGATCTTTCAAATGAATTGGGTCGGCTCAGCGAGTTGGTGTGCTGAATCACAGAAATCACATTTCCAGGAGGTTTCCTGCCCCCTAGGTCTGACATCTTGTCTTTTTTTATGGCTGAAGATGACTCCTCTGACACAAGAGATGGACTTCCAGGCTGCAGTTGGGGCCGACATGGGTCAAAGCGTTCCGTGTGACCATGAGAAAGGTTTTCGTGTCCAGCCACGGCAAATCCACTCCTGACTCCTTCCTGCATCTGCAGTTTGGGTTTTTTTTCGGAAGCCATGATGCCCATGGGAGTGCTTACGATGCTGCTGCAGATTTTTTTTGTGTCCTCTTCATCCCCTACGCTCTTCTCTTTCCGGCGTTTCCTGTTTTTTTTTGTAGTTCCAAACATGCTTGGTACTCCCTGCAATGGCACCGCAGGATCCATGAAATATTCTCCACCATGTTTTAAAGAACTCAAGCAGGAAATGTCCCTGTATTTTTTTTTTGGTGTTTCAGAGTCCTCCCACTTCTTATAGGGTTTCCGACAGACTTTTTTTTCATACACAACCCTGTCCCCAGGAGACAATTTCTTTTCCTTCAGGGATTTTTTTCTGACACCCTTCAACATCCTGCCATGGTGCTCGACCTCCACATGGCCCTCCTGTACTGAAGGCAGTTCAAATGCTGCTTGTCTTCTTAGCATGCGCTGAGGTTTTTTTCCCACGGTCCCTGGATAAAATACATCGTCGGAACCAGTCATCCTTTCTTTTTTTGAGTGACTTCCTCTCAAAGAAGGAGGAATAGTTAGATTAGTTGCTGATTTTTTTGGCATTGAGTTGCTTCTAATAAGGGGTGAAGAGTCTACAGGAGCTTCTTTTTTTACCGGGTTACTGCCTTGGAAGTTTGCTGGATAAAGCTTTCCTTCATTTTTTTTTGATGATGGAATAATCTGGGGTTGTCTAGACTCACTGTTGAACTTAGTGGATTTCAGCATGCTCGTTTGACTGGGGTCCACGTCTCCCTTGCTTGGGATCAGTTTTTTTACAGGATCTTCAAACATCTTGACATCTAACCTGGTGTTTACGTGAGGTTTTTTTTCCATTATGCCCTTCCTACCCATTGCGGCACGCTCCTGACTTGTGGTTGTAACACTGAGTGCATTTCTCGGACTAAGCCGACAGTATTTTCCAAAGATGATTTTTTTTTAAGACTTTGCATTTGTGTTGGGAGGGCTTATTTGCTGCTCAGCACTTTCTGAGCGAGAAAAGTAACCAGAATCAGTGCTTCCTTTACTGTGCGGGCTCAGAAGGTTGAGCGATGGCTCAGAATCTTGTCCTTTTTTCTCTGACAGTCTTAGTGCAAGTTTCTGTTTGACTGTGTGCGAATCATCAGCCTTAGTATTTAAAGATGGATTTTTTTTTATATCAGGGCCCATATACTGAGAGCTTTCATTAGGGAGAGGAATCCCACTTTTAGGAATAATCAAAATCGGCACCTTCATTGGACCTCCCAATGATTCTTCCAATGACCCATGATAGCCACCTCTGCTGGCAATGTCCAGTGGGATGGGTGGGCCTTTTTTTATTTTGTCAGAAGCCTCGGCAAATAAAGAACTCTCCTCATCTGTGTCTTTTTTTTGTTCACCATCTGAATGTATTTCTGCTTCTACATCAATAAAACCAGCTTTTTTTTCCAATTTAGATACCGCTGACTCTGTGAAAGGTACTAATCCTGCCTTAATTGCATGGGCATGTGACTTCCTGTGCTTGTACAAATTGCTCTTTGTCTTGAATTTTTTTCCACAAGGTATACATGGATATGGCCGCTCCCCAGTATGGGACCTGATTTTTTTTTTTAGTACGCTAGGTTTGGCACACGCTCTGCTGCAGTAAGGGCAAATGTACTTGCCAGGCTTTTTGGGTTTGTGCTCTTTCTTGTGAGCCTCTTCTGCCTGTTTTTTTCTTTTCTGGGAGTATTGGCTATAAGCAGGGTTCAGACTTGAAATCTTTTTTCTAGGATAACCACCACTGTGGCCATGTATAGGAAAAGGAAATAAGTCCTCTTTTTTTACGGATGGCAAAGGGCCAGGGAAAAGCCACGGAGGACCTTCGAGGCTCTGATGTGGCTTGGTGCTGTGCATGACCCCCTGTGGCAATGAGTGCTGAGGGAAAGAGAGTGAGTGTTGGCATGAGTAAGGACTCGGACGATGCGGTGGATATTGCTTCTCTGTGACTTGCTGCACCACTTCACTAGGGGAGGCCAGTTTCCCAGAACCAAACAGTTGTGCTGATGCTGTGTTTCCGATTTGCTCAGGCTCTATTTGTGGTTGCCGCTGTCCTTCTTGACTGCCAAAAGTGCTCATCTTAATAACAGCCGATTGTTCCTGTTTTTTTCTACCTGATGCTTTATCAGTTTCTCCAGACCTTGAGGTAGCCTTTTGTTTTTTTGCTGTGTCCCCAGTGTCCATTTTGTTACACAAGGTCTTAAGTGCTAGTTTTTTTGAAAGCGGTGCAGACTCATGGAGTATCTCCAAAGCTGTGCTTCTTAATTTTTTTTTGCTTCCATGTTCCAAGGGGTCTGCAAACTTGCTGATTGCTCCTTCTTTTTTTAACCTTCCACACGCACACCACAGTCGATGGGCATTAGATAGTAATGTTTTTTTTCCAGAGCTATAACACAGTTCTCTCCATTGTAGAAATGTCCATCCAAATTTTTTTTGCAAATCTATAAAGATTTCTTACGGCATTTGAAAATTTTCAACTAGTTTTTTTTTGGGATGATGAATAGTCTAGAAGAAATTTTGCCCATCAACTAGAGCTTTTTTTAATTGCCAGTTTCACTAAGATAAAATGACCTGAAGAAAAAGAAAATATTTTTTTATTGTCATAACAGTTCCAAATAAGAAACCAAAAAAAAAAAAAAAAAATTTTTTTAACCAACCAGAAATCAGATAAATTTGAAATGCTTCTTACTCCAAGGATTTTTTTTTATTGAGATTACATTAATTCCACAATTAAAATATATTAATTTCAAATTTTTTTTTAAGTCATAAACGTAAGTCTCTTCCATGTTTGAATTTTGGTCACTCTTTTTTTTATCTTTAACTTTAGAAAAATATCCTTGATGGATATTATCTACAAAATTTTTTTATTTTAGAAAGCCCCATTAAAAAAATTAGAGCTATTCCTAACCAAGTTTTTTTTTTTGTATGCCAAAGTGTATTACATATCTCTATATAGGGATATGTTTTTTTTTTTAATACAAAAAATATGTGGCCAGGCATGGTGGCTCACTCCTGTAATTCCAGCACTTTGGGAGGCTGAGGCAGGTGGATCATGAGGTCAAGAGACCGAGACCATCCTGGCCAACATGGTGAAACCCCGTCTCTCCTAAAAATACAAAAATTAGCTAGTTTTTTTGGCATGCACCTGTAGTCCCAGTTACTCGGGAAGCTAAGGGAGGGGAATTTTTTTAACCCGGGAGGCGGAGGTTGCACTGAGCTGACATCATGTCACTGCACTGCAGCCTGGCAACAGAGCGAGACTCCATCTCAAAAAAAAAAAAAAGCCATATATATGTTATACATTAATATAAAATATAAATATAACAGTATATATATAAGCATACATATATAAAATACATGTTTTATAAAATTCATAAAGTATTATATATTACTATAAAGTATAGCTTTATTTTACAGCTTAAAATCAGTGATTAGTAACATGACATCAAGGCTGTAAGAATCAGATGTCACAGAAATTTGGAAAAGATAAAAGGGTACATCTAAACAAAACAATTATAAAGTCTTCTTAATATGGAAAACAAAGCATATTTATAGGACAGTTTAAAAATGAAATGATTACCTGAACAGTTTAGAGCTCTCATGGGCATGATTGTCCTGACGCTTCCTGGATACAAAATAAATGCAGTTAGGAAAAATTGTTCCATTAAATTTTTTTATTGATACATACAAATACAAATTCCAATTTCCAGTTCATTATATAAATTTTTTTCAAAGCTATGTACCCTAAAACAAAAGCTAGAAACTGCTTCAGAAAGCTTTTTTTCAGAAGAGTAAACCTTATATTGACACTGTGACTCAAAAATAACTCAGTTTTTTTATTATAAAAACATCATGGTAATATTTTCTAAGATATACGATTATTATTTTTTTTACGTCTTAGTTATTGAAATGTAATCAGCCTAGTTCTAATTCCCTAGATTTTTTTAGTTGAGAATAGTGGGAATTTTTTGTTTTGTTTTTTGAGACAGAGTCTTTTTTTGGTGCCCAGGCTTGAGTACAGTGGTGGAATCACTGTTCACTGCAGCCTTGACCTCCCTGAGCTCAGGCGATCCTCCCACCTTAGGCTCCCAAGTAACTGGGATTAAAGGTGTACACCACTACACCCATCTAATTTTTGTATTTTTTGTAGAGATGAGGTCTTGCCATATTGCCCAGGCTGGTCTCAAACTCCTGGGCTCAAGCAATCTTGGTCTCCCAAAGTGTTAGGATTATAGGTGTGAGCCACCTCACCTGGCTGAAAATTTTTTTTTTTTTTGTTTAGTTTTTTTTTTTTTTCCCTGATAGGCTTGAATGTTTTTTTTTTAAAAGAATATATTTCCTTTTTAGGAAATTTACATAATGGCAAAGTGAAGGAGTCCTCTAGATGAGGGCCTATGATTCAGGAAGACTTGACAACTAAGTAATTTTTTTTTTTTAAGTGAATACTCAACTTCCTTAAGGCAGTGTTCAATGAGGTACTTTTTTTATTCTGAGAACTTCAATGATAAACTGTATCAACTGTCATAAAACCTCTTTTTTTTCCTTGATAGGCAATGTGTCAGTTCATCAAAATAAAAAAGATCATACACATTGACCTACAAATTCCACTGCTGGAAATATATCCTTATAGGTGTCCTTGTACAAGCGCACACTAATAGATGTACAAGAACTGCTTAAATAAATTATGGCTCAATTTTTTTTTTGAGGCATTTGAAAAAGTACAGCTATAAGTGCCAATATAGAAACTTGTTTTTTTAATAGTAACATTAAATGCAAGAAAAGCTTATTGCACCCTAGTATGAATTTTTTTTGTTAATCCTATGGGCGAAAAAGAGGAACATTTGATCAACAGAAAATTCCTGTGAGGATGCCAGACAGCATGGACACCAGCCTGATCAACATAGAGAAACTTTTTTTTTACTAAAAATACAAAAAATTAGCTGGGCATGGTGGTGCATGCCTGTATTTTTTTCTACTTGGGAGGCTGAGGCAGGAGAATTGTTTGGACCCGGGAGGCAGAGGTTTCAGTGAGCCAAGATGGAGCCATTGCATTCCAGCCTGGGGAACAAGAGCTTTTTTTCATCTCAAAAAAAAAAAAAAAAGTGGAACCTGGGATTCAGAGGAAAATTTTTTTAAGGATTTTTACTTTTCACCTCATGACTTTCAGTAAGTTTAATTTTTTTTTTTTTTTCTTAACATGAGCATGTTTATCTTTTTAAATAAAACACTGGTTAATAATTTTTAAAAATGCTACCATGCAGATGTACTGCAGATTCCTAAAGCAAAACTTTTTTTTTAGTCTTACTTCCATTGGCAATTTTCTCCCTAACATAGAATTTGACTTTTTTTTTGATGATGAGAGAAGTTGGACTTTGAAAGGGGAAAAGCACCTGGAAATTCCCACAGGAACAGTAAGTCTTTGGGTGAGAAATCAGTAGCCCCTAGATATTTTTTTTTTGACATCTGTACTCAAAGATTCCTTCTCTTAATGGCCATGAAGCCTAATTTTTTTGTACAGCAGCAGTCAAAAAACTAAACAAAGATATTAATTTCAGTTTGTTTTTTTGTTTTGCTGTTGGATTTAATTTTTTGCTGCGCAATAATTTTCTGTAGTTTTTTTCTTTAGAAAATGAGGCAAAAACTGAAGCAGAAGTGATGGCCTCATAATATTCCAATGCAAATTTACTTCTGTCAATTCCAGGAACCATGCTAACAAGAAGAAGACACAATGTTGATTCTGAACTGGCTGACTGTGTTTAATTAACTAAATATTTATTTTTTTTGTAGACACAGCCTCTGTCAGATTTGCAGATGTAAATAATATCCTCTTTTTTTTAAGTATGCTACATCTCCAATTCAAGACAAGCATGTGTGAATCCTCAATTAGGACTCTGAGTTTGAACTGAATAATTTCTAAGTTACTTTTCAGATTTAATATTTTTTTATGGTATTGATCTATGCATGCAGTTCCACTGTTAATTATAACAATGATTTTTTTTGTCATTTACTATATATTTACTATGGGCTGACGCATACTGTTAAAGAGTTTCATGTACATTGTCTTATTTTATCTTCATTATACCCCTATGCTAAGGGTATTTTTTTTCCTATTTTACAGTTGAGAATGATTCTTAGAGAGGTTGGGTTTCAGAACCAAAATGCAGATCTAAATTTGATGACTTCTAAGTCTAGGAGGACTCACCACCATTTTTTTTTAAGTTTTATTCCAACTTAAAATAATACATCTTCAATAATATCTTCTTTTTTTTATTTTCACTTAACTTTAATATGTGAAATGTCTCAACTTTTAATGGTTTTTTTTGAACATAAATGAGCTCTGCATGTTTGTAGTACAAAAAAATGGCCCTATTTTTTTATTTCCTAGAAATAAAAAGTCCATAATTTAAATAATGTTCAAAATATGTATATTAAGTATTAATGAGAACAGCTTCTTGTAAGACTGTAATAAAGTCTCATTTTTTTTTGTTTTCTTTTGTTCTTTGAAAATCATTACTGTTTTTTTTTAGAGGATTTTTTTCACTTTCTTGTCCAGGCTGGACTCAAACTCATGGGCTCAAGGGATCCTCTGGCCCCTGCTTCCGAAGTAGCTCCCAAGCCACTGTGCCCAGCTTGGAAATCTTTTTTTTTAAGGAAAATAAGAACCTTACAAGTGAAAATCAGGTATGTATCATTTTTTTTTTTTTGGTTGACACAGAATATATAATTTTGCTCAAAACATAAACTTCATTTTTTTGGCATGGTGGCTCACGCCTACAATCCTAGCACTTTGGGAGGTGGAGGTTTTTTTATGGCTTGAGCTTAGAAGTTCGAGACCAGCCTGGGCAAAACTCCATCTTTTTTTAAAAATACAAAAATTAGCTGGGTGTGGTGGCATGTACCTGTAGTCTCTTTTTTTCAGGAGGCTGAGGTGGGAGAATCACTTGAGCCCAGCAGGTCGAGGCTGCAGTGAGCTATGATTGCAGCACTGCACTCCAGCCTGGGGAACAGAGTGAGACTCTATCTCAAAACAAACAAAAAACCAAAACAAAAACAGCATAAACTTCAAGTAGTAAGTACATACAATTTTATAAAAAACAGGGCTAGAATAATTTATTTCATAAGTTATTTTTTTAAATATAATGTTTTCACTTAGCAATGAGGTAATACCTTTATAAATCATTTTTTTAATTTTTATGGTTTAAAATAATAAAACCATTCTTATACACTAAGGGCTTTTTTTCTAGTAGATGCATCAAATAAAATTCAGAAATAATATTCTGCTACTAGAGAATACACCAGAAGGTGAAAAACAGTGACTTACATAAAATTCAAAATCAGATATTTTTTTGTCAGAACAAAACATGTCTAGACCATTAAGTTAACTGTTTAATTTTTTTTTTTTGGAGGCTAATCATAAAAAAAGTCTTATCTATCATTTTATTTTAAAAATTTTTTTTTGCTAAGTTTAACATAGGATCTTTCTATATTCCAGCAGCACTTATTTTTTTTTAAGTTTTTAAGATTCAAAACATTAACTCAATTATGCAAATAGCTTCTTTTTTTTAAATCTCTTCCTTCTAAATTTCTAAGACAAGCCTACCCAAGATGCCCTTTTTTTTTACCACCATTTTATCATCTAGCTAGATGATATCCCACGCCATGCTTTCTCTCCTGGGTTGTGCCGGAAGAGCGTCCATCTTTGTGCCTAAGCTGGAGGTCCCAGCCCTACAGGGATCCCTCCTCTGATTCACAATGTCTAGTTTTTCACTTCAGTGGAAGACTTACTAGGGAACTAGAAATCATGCTTATTTCACATGAACCTTTCACTTTTTTTTTGAAACATGTTTGAGGATGTCTTTTTCTCTCCAACACTATCCTTGGTTTTTTTTTGACTAACTACTGTCCATAAAATCACGTCTCTTCTTGGAGTTTCTGAGACACACAGAGAAAGGTAGGTGGGAGAGAAAGTGAGTGATGGCTTCTTTTTGGTTTTTTTTGATCATATTTATGAACCATTAAAAATATGGACTATTTGTATTAGTCATTTTTCTACAGCTGCTTATCCTGGAAACTGAAAAGATACTGCAATGGAAATTGTTTTTTTAATAATCTATTACTGAACATGGCATGACTTTCTCTTTAAAAACTAGCTTTTTTTGGGAGGGTTTGAAAGTTTCTCTGCTACTCCACTCAAATTATACTGAGGAAAACAAATTCACTTTAAAAACAATTGGGTTTTCCAAGTTTAATTCAAGGTTATTTTTTTGCATTTGTCTTGTTTTGTTAGGTGACACTTTTACTAAGCAACCTAACTTTTTTTAATGACATAAATTCGTGAGCTTGCATTTTATTACTAAAATGTATAAAAATGCTTATAGATAAGAAAACATTTTAATAAGTATGTTAGAGAAGGAAATCTATATTAAATGAATCATTAAGTCTAGGAAAATACTTTCTTTGGACTTCATAATATTATTTTTTTTCATTAAATGTACCATTGTATCTACCTGCAATTTTAGTTTAATTTCTTTTTTTTAGATCTACTTAGAACTATAAAGATCTATAGTAATATGGTTAATTATATTTTTTTCGTTTCTCTATGACTGTGTAGAGTCAATTCATTTTTCAGACTCTCTATTTTTTTATTAAAAATATATACCAGGTTTCCTAATTAATTGATACATCAAAAAATTTTTTTGGAGAGTAATTCTCATATGCAAACAGTGAGTTATCACTTTATTCACTTTTTTTTCCTTTTATGGTAACCAAACCCACACAAAGTCATTTTTGGCACCCACTGCCAACAAAGGAGCGGAATTCCAAATACAGTTTTGCATTCACAGTTAAAATTTTTTTTTTTGGGTTTTCAGTGCTATGAAAGGAGTAAGATAATTGACTGGATAATAATTTTTTTGGGATATGACTCTGGGTTTCCTGTGGATACTGCTACAGCCCACAGGATTTTTTTAGTCAATAAAGACAGACATTGTCTGGCAGGCTCATCACACTTTTCAGAGGGGGATCATGTAAACAAAGAGATTACCTCTGCATGGCTATTTCGGTGGTAATTTTTTTTAAGGAATTGAAGTGAAAGAAAATATTACAGGGAAGAGCTGACATTCTTCTAGAAGTGTGCCCTCTCCTTTGGCCACTCTTCAGAGTCCCACTCAAATAAGTTTTTTTTCCAGTTAAATAATGTCCTCAGACAAGCTCCCAAAGGAAAGACACAGAAACAGCCTCCTGGATGGACCTCCTCAGAGGTCTCTTCAGGATAACGACTGGGTGGGATTGGCAGGAAGACAGGCTTGCTCTGCAGAAGAATAAAGACCTACAGTACCCAAGGTTGTCAATCTGGGATCTTTTGCTTAGAAAAACATTATCTCAGAAAAGACTTTTTTTTAGGATATTAGTCATTACTTGAGTGGTGGCAAAAGTCAAGTGAGCATTTTTTTTTGACATCCTAAATAATGATGGTATAAAATGACTGGCAGCAAACACAGCTTTTTTTCTTCCAACATTAAAAAAAAAAAAACATTTTTTAAAATGTAAATGGTCTTTTTTTCTTTTCTTGAGGATTTGGTGGTATGACACTTATAAACATTTGGTCTTTTTTTTTGGATTTGGTAGTATGACACTTGTAAACAAAATATGTGTCTTATGGTATTTTTTTGTGAATGACATTTTAGAAGGGACATCATTGTGTTTGTTATTAAAATGTTTTTTTTCAATTATAAAATCTTTAAAAAACGCATGAACACCTCAGGGCATCGTAGTTGTAACACTGATCCCACGAGTCACTTAGACACTTATTGCCCAACCACCACTTTTTTTTCACATGCTCAGAGAGTATGGGATGAGGGAAAAAAGGAACTACCAAGAAAGAAGGCATGACGAGTGCCAGAGTCCAGCTGAATAAAGACTTATTTCCACAGGAGGATTTTTTAAAAGGTGCCTTCCTGAGAGCCAAATTCATTATAAAGGCTTCTTTTTTTTTAAATTCCCATAACAACCTCAGTTCCCTCCAAAATGAGCAAGTTGTCACTATATGGAGAAAACTATATTATATATAATCCTGCCAAGCAATACAGAAAATTTTTGGAGAAGAGTAAAAATATTGTGATGATCATCCTCTAATTTGATGTAATTAAATTTTTTTTTGATATTTAAAACCTAATGAGAAACAATCATATTTTTCAATGTGGGCTGCAATGCAGGCATCATTGTATATATTTGTAGAGTTTGCCTATTTAGTCAAGATATTTATGATTTATTTTGACTACAGCATGCTGCTTTTAATATTTTGTCATACCTTTTAAAATAATTTTTTAAATTGTGATTTCACCTTTCTACTGAGATGTTTTCTCATTTTTTTGCAAAAGTTATTAGGATTTACTAAGTAGAGTCTCACATGAAAATAAATTTTTTTAGAAATAAATTCTGTGAAATAAAGCTATTTTAATTATAACAATGATAATTATAATTAAGACTGGTGGGCCGGGCGCGGTGGCTCACGCCTGTAATCCCAGCACTTTGGGAGGCCGAGGTCAAGAGATCGAGACCATCCTGGCCAACATGGTGAAACCCTGTCTCTACTAAAAATACAAAAATGAGCCGGGCATGGTATCAGGTGCCTGTAGTCCCAGATACTTGGGAGGCTGAGGCAGGAGAATCACTTGAACCCAGAAGGCATTTTTTTCAGTGAGCCGAGATTGTGCCTCTGCACTCCAGCCTAGCTAGCGACAGTTTTTTTCTCCGTCTCAAAAAACAAAACAAAACAAAACAAAACTAGTCTACTATTTTTTTTAAAATACAACAAAACAACATTTTTCTCTCTAGATGGAAAATATATTGTTTTTTTCCTGATTTGATGACAAAATCAGTTTATATATGAGCCCATGGTCGGCCAAAACAGCTTTTCAAGTTTAATGTAACACGAGAATAAGAATAAATAAATTTTAGTTTTTTTCCTGTTCTCCGCATATCAAAAAACTGCATCACAACCGTCTTTGATTTCCAAGATGCCAACTCTCCTCACAGGAGCTCATGTACAACTTCTGGGAATCTAAATTTTTTTCAAGAAGATTTAAAAGATGATGACACCTGTCATGAGTTTAATAAGCATGCTCATTCTTCTTCACCACAGAACCTACCTTCCTTTAGGAAAGAAAATTTGGATTTTTTTCTCTCAATAAGCTATTTCCCCCCCCCACAAGAAAGAATTTCCTTTCTTTTTTTTTAGTTTAAATCTTTTGAATAAATACTTGTATTTAAAAGGAATTCCCTGTAACAGTGAAATGCTAGAGTTAAAACTTCAAGTATCAGAACTAGAAATTGTGTTTTTTTTGTCCATGATACGGTTCTGCCATAAAGCTGAGATTTCCAAAGAACATTCTTTTTTTTTTTTTTTTTTTTAAATTATACTTTAAGTTCTAGGGGTACATGTGCATAACGCTGCAGGTTTGTTACATATGTATACTTGTGCCATGTTGGTGTGCTGTACCCATCAACTCGTCAGCACCCACATCATACATTTACATCAGGTAACTCCCAATGCAATCCCTCCTCCCCCTCCCGTGATAGGCCCGCCGGGGTGATGCCCCCCCCCCGAGCCAAGTGAACTCATTGTTCAGCCCACCTATGAGTGGAAACAAGCGGTGTTTGCGTTTTCTGTCTTGCCGATAGTTTGCTGAGAATGATACTGGGTATACCCAAACGATTATAAATCATGCTGCTATAAAAGACACATGCACACATATGTTTATTGTGGGCACTATTCACAATAGCAAAGACTTGGAATCAACCAAATGTCCATCAGTGACAGACTGGATTAAGAAAATGTGGCACATATGCACCATGGAATACTATGCAGCCATAAAAAAGGATGAGTTGTGTCCTTTGTAGGGACATGGAGCAGCCGGAAACCAAAGAACATCTTTTAGGTGTATCAGCAAACTAAACTTCGCAGGTTGAAGTTTAAGTAACCTCGTTGTAAATTTGTTTCTATAGTTTATTTCAGCAATGTTATAGTTTGTGCTAAAATTAAATTCTGAAATAGGAATCCAAACCCAACCAAAAGCAAAATTCAGACTTTCCAAAGTCGAGTAAGTAATGAAGAAAGGAACTTTTCATATATAGAATTAGTATTTATTCAAGTATGATCCCAAAGAAATGCATGGAAGGTCAAACTACCTAATCCAAATAGATTAATCAATGATCTTAACAGAGGTTTATCTCCCAGGTTAAAGACCTACTTAAAAATATTATTATGATACCCATAATTGTATATTTGTTATTTTTTAAAAAAATTGCTCCTTTCTTCCTGACAAGTTATTACAAAACTCTTGTAAGAATAACTAAAGCATTAAACAACAGTTAAAATGTGCTTTCCTGCAGTACCACTTCATGTGAACATTCAAAGTGTTTAAAGGAAGTAGTTTGTGCTTAGTTTCCCCCTCATTTCTGCACATCACTGCGGTAGCACTTCAGGACACCCTGTGCACTTGAGACATGAATCATTATAAGCAAGTGCCACTCGGTTCCTCAAAAGACACAAAAGGTGCAAAAATAGCTTCTGCAATTGAAGGAAGAACCACGTCAGTAACCAGATGAATGTGGGTGGTCACATAAGATTCTGGTGCTGCAAAGGGCAAATTATTAAGCAAATGCTAGATTTATTTTCTTTTTCAAACTTTATTCTTCTTGCCTGAAATCAACGGTTTGCTGGTACCCAAAGTGACACCTAACAAGGTCTACTATTCTCAAAATTGAAACTTTCATCAACGCTAAAGAGCATGATTCATTAACATAGAAGGAATAGAGCGATATCCTAAACAATACACATTTTCTATAAGATAATTAACTGTAGGTTTAACACACTAAATATCACATCTTTTAAAAAATCAAATAAAAGCACTTCAAAAAACACCACAAAAACTATAATCTAGTCTAAAGTAAAGCATGGCATTCCCAAAAAAAAAAAAAAAAAAAAAAAAGAAAGAAAGAAAGAAAAAAGAAATCACTGAGTTATTTTGTACTCCAAACAAAATACACCCAAGACATAAATGGGCCAATGTTCTAAAGAGACAGATATTTATAGGGAGCCTTAACTTGCAGTAGTCAGTGACTACCTCTGACTGGTAATCTCACAGTCACCAAATTAAGAGGCAAGAAGGTAAAAGAAGAGCTTAATTTTCAGTAGGCCAGCCAATCTCCCTTCCCCTACAGAAATCATCATTCCTACCAGCAGCATCCACAGGCAAAACAGAGCACGTGAGTGCCCCCCCAACAAGCTGTGATGGGACAGCATTCCCAGTTCTGACTCGCTTTTCCAGTCTTACTTTCTAAGATGATGGCTACTGGAAATGGTAAACATTCTTTTCATGACATGTACATGTATTTGAAATTATAGATTACAGATGATTCCCCATTTCACCTGGTAAGAGGATTCGAAAACTGGTTCTGTTGCATCACTCATGACCTTTTAAATGTTTGGGTTTCTCTTGAAGAAGAGAATGGTAATCATGTTATACTTATCTTTACCTTACAGAAAGTTCCAGATAATTAGTGTGATTTTAAAGCAAAGATGCAAATGATATTAACATGAAAGATATGATATCAATTTCGGCATTTCTGCACAAATCATTTTGTTATAAATTGAAATCAGTAATGGCCTCTACAATGGGACTTGGTTATTGTTATTACTGAAATGGAGATATGGAGATGCCATCTCAGAAATTTATTTTTTGCATTAATTTTAAGTGAGTTTTTGTGTCTTTATTTCTCCATCAAAATAAAAGAAAAACCTTTCATCAAACAGCTCTTGAGAATGTATTATGACAACTCATGCTCCTATTCTCAAGAAATCAACAGTTTACATAGTATGTTATTAAAGAAATGGACTAAAGGAGGAAAGATGATTATTTCTTTAACTTTGCTTTTAGGTTGTTAGATTCATAAGAAGTTACCAGGTAATGAAACCTTAATATTTAATAAAACAAACAAGTTTTCAGAAATAGTGCTAATGAATCTTGATAAATATCCCAAGGTCATTTAAAATTCCTTCCTAAATATGAGGTAAAAATTATATTTCACTGTACCACATACAGGATGGTTTTTCTGTCGACCTGCAGGTTGAAAGAGACCCTTGAAAATAGTTTCCAATCCTCCATCTCCTATTTGTAATAAACACTTGGAAGATTTGAGTATTACTGTTTCTATCCCAGTGGTTTCTCAGCCTTCCCATTCTTAGAAGAGAAAAAATCCTTCGCATTAGTTACTTGTTCTTGGATGCTTATGGGTTATTACTATTAAGCTAAGCAAGAGTCAAGCTACTGATTGATAGATGATAGATAGACATTTAAAAAATATCCATTGTTAGTGGGATTGTCTTTTTCCATTCTCTACTTTTCCAAATTGTTTCAAAACAAGTTATAGTTAATGCTTTAATATGACTCTTACATGAATCTAGCAAGAGGTGAAGGTTTCATTGGCAGAACTCGCAAGTACCTCCCATCACCCTTGTTTTTTCTGAGGTTAAATAAGTATACACTATATCACAATTTTAGGAGAAGAGCTGATAAGGTAAACCAGTTACACTTTAGATGAGCATTATTATAATTAAAAACAGTCATTATTGGCTGGGTATAGTGGCTCACACCTGTAATCCCAGCACTTTGGGAGGATTGCTTAAGACCAGGAGGTCAAAGCTCTGCAGTGAACTATGATCACAGCACTGCACTCCAGCCTGGACAACAGAGACCCTGTCTCAAAAAAAAAAAAAAAAAAATCAAAACAACAACAATGAAAATAATTCTTATAAAAATGGAAAAATGGCAAATAGGAACTGGAAACAAGATATGATAGCTTTATTTCTCAGTAAAAAGGAGTGTTTAAGTATTACATGTTTAAAAGAATGAACACTACTCTTCACTAAAGAGACACTTTACTCTTATAGTAGGGAATAGAAAAAATTCAAAAGTAGCGACTACAGATGGGAGAAGAGCACTGAAAGAGACATCAATGTTCAAGATATACTCCACCAATTTCACACGGTTTTTGTAGTGGCATATTTTCCTCTCTACAAAAAAAAAAAAAAAAAGACTCTAAATGGGCCCATTGTTCCACTTTGGAGTGCCTAGAGCGGCAAAGAAAGAAGAGGCTGGGAAGGACTAGAGAAGGCAGGTATAGGATAGACAACACACATACACACACACACACACATTGACAGGATAACTATAAGCTAGATCTTTAGAAATATTTTTGATATAAAGGTAATGAATGAGGTTGGTGATGAAATGTAAAAAAGAAAACATATTAAAGGGACATGACTAGGGAAAGAGAAACGTGGTAGTTTTGGAACATGGGGCAATTCATTCCCGGAACAACTCTGTAGAAGGTTTTGAAAAGTCAAGAAGGTGCGTGGAAAGAAGGATTCCCACAGAGTTTTCATAATAGGAGGCTGGGGCAAATTGAGTCCAAATTATCCAGAAACTGCCCATAAAAATGATACCAAAGCTACATATAGTCTATTGCTGATTCTCAGCAGGTAGTGCAGGAGCACAGAAAAGATAGGAAACAAAGCATTGCGTAAATTAAAACTAGTGAAAACAAACAAAAACAGGTAATGTGCATTAGAAATTGTAACTTAAGCCTCTTTAAATAGGATTTCTGATTATTCTATGATACTTTAAGACATTTACTGAATGCCTACGACGTGCCAGAAATGGGCTATATTTACACAACACAGAAAAAGAAAAGACAAGCACTACATTTAAGAGCTCAGAGCTGGCTGGGTGTGGTGGCTCACACCTGTAATCCCAGCACTTTGGGAGGCCCAGGCAAGCAGATCACTTGAGGTCAGGACTTCAAGACCAGCCTGGCCAACATGGTGAAACCCCATTTCTACTAAAAATACAAAAATTAGGCCGGGCGCGTGGTGGCTCATGCCTGTAATCCCAGCACTTTGGGAGGCCGAGGCTGGCGGATCACGAGGTCAGGAGATTGAGACCATCCTGGCAAACACGGTGAAACCCCATCTCTACTAAAAATACAAAAAAGTTAGCC